TAAATTTGAAAGATTTAAACATTTTTAAAAATCATTTTTATTTTTATTTTTCTAATTTATAATAATAATATATCATATATATATATATATATATATATATATATATATATATATTTAAATGAATAGATAAAACCTGAATAAAAGTAGAATTAAACTTTTTTTATTGCATCATTCATCATATTTATTAATTTCTATTTTTTTTCTTTTACTTTTCCCATCCCTCATTTTAAAGTTGAAATATATGTCGCGAGAATGCTAGGACAGTATTCATTTTATATATTGGTTTGGCTTTTATGATGTAATTAATAGTATGTGAACTATTTGTAATATAAGTGTATATTTTATTTAAAAAAAGTTAAAATTTTGTGGGGCAACTACCCCCAAAGTCTACAAAGTGGATCTGCGGCGATGATATAATAAAAAAAATTGAAAAGTAGATTAAAAAATATATAAAAGAAAACTACCCTTTCAAATTGAGGATGACTGCCAAATGTTGCAAGTTGCAACCACACATTCTGGTGTTATAGTCAATGGAGATTATTTTTTTTCTTTTATCTCTTTCTTTTTTAATTAAGAATAATATCAGATCTTTCTTTTTCTCTAAGAATATATTTCTTTTCTTTCTCTTCGTTTTTTCAGAATGTCCTTTCAAGAGAGGATACGAACCAGACAGAAGTGTCTTCAAAACGTCAAGTCTACTATTTTTTTTTCCAATTTAAAATTATTTGGACAAAGAGAAACAAACAAATTGCTGATTTATTAAATCCCATCTAAGAGAAGGTTAATGTAACACTCACTTTCAACAATACTTTACTTTACACTATTCCAAAATTATTTACACCTTAAAACAATTACCAAATAACTTCAAAGCAACAGATCACTAGTAATTCATATGGCTCAGATTAGCTAAGAGAATTATAAAATATATTTGACAAAATAATTTTAAAATATTAAAATAATATTTTTAAATTAAACGTAATTTTAATGTTCATTAAATATAAAATTATCAAAGTTCATTTTAACTAAATCTACTATACTATAACTATAATTATTTTGCATCACCAAAAACACTAATTTCTACTCTTCTTTCGTAGAAAAAGTTTTGAAATGATAGATATTATTTTAAATTTAGTGAAAAACATGATTTCAATTTTCTAAATATATATCTTTTTAATTTATTTACGAAAATGGTGTTTAGTCTTGTGTCTTTTCTTGTTTTGTCTTTTTTAGGTAAGAAAATGACCATTTTAAGACTATTCTGCATCAAATTTAAGAGATAAAGTTTAAGTCTGCACCACAACTTATGTTGATAACTTACTGATTTTATCTGTTATCAATGTTATATATATAATTTCAACTTTTATCGTTACTTATTTATGGATTATTACAATTAAATAGTAAAAAAAAACGCCACTGTGTAACTTTCAACACAGGTATAGACATCACTAGGATGGATCGGGGTGAAACAACATGTCCATCAAATTATAAATATAGTTAAAATAGACTTTAATCATAGTTCTGATATTATGATAAGAAATGCACTTTAAGCCTAACTCAATTCTATAAAATCGGCTTGTAAGATGAGGTTATCCACTTATATATTATAAATTTATCTTGTCTCTAGTTGAGGTGAGACTTTCAATACACCTCCCTTACGCCGAGGTATAAACATCATTTCGAACGTGAGACTAAAGATTAATGAGTGGTCCGATAGCGGTTGAAACGACATATCCAACAAACAACAAATAAAGTCCACTTCTTAACATTCTACAAACAACAAATAAAGTCCACTTCTTAACATTCTACAATTTTTTTTGACAGATATGATGAGAAGAATTTACCAGCAGTGGACATTTTTGTATGCACGGCTGATCCAAAACTGGAACCTCCATGCATGGTGATGAACACAGTGTTATCAGCAATGGCATACAACTATCCTGCAAATAAATTGAACGTGTATCTCTCTGACGATGGAGGCTCTGAGCTAACATTCTACGCTCTCTTAAAGGCCTCCACTTTTTCCAAACATTGGTTACCCTTTTGTAGAAGATTCAATGTTGAGCCTAGGTCCCCGGAAGTCTTCTTTGCTCGTCCCCAAAATTCAAGCACTAGCACTGAGTATCAGAAAGCATATTTACATATCAAGGTAACCAAGTTTTTTTTTATTATTAAGCATGTTGAATTTACGTATGTATAATTAACGAGATTGTATCTATATATGTATGTCAGAAATTGTACGAGGAAATGAAAAGTGAGATTGAATCAGCAGCAGTAAAGGGAGAGCTTCCAGAGAATGTGAGAAATGAGCACAGGGGATTCTCAGAATGGAACCCAAAATCGACAAAGCAGGATCACCAGTCTATTGTGCAGGTATGAACATTTTTAATTTTCTGAGAAAACATAAAGAACATATTAGTTTTTCTACGTAGTTAATATCTGTTCATGATTATGTTAGATTATAGTGGATGGAAGAGACAGAAATAGTGTAGATGAAGATGGATTTGAACTTCCAACAGTGGTATACATGGCACGAGAGAAACGACCCAACCATCCTCATCACTTCAAAGCTGGTGCTGTTAATGCACTGGTGAGTGATTAAATCACTAACTATATGTTTGATAAAAATGATCAAATATACATTTTTTAAACTTTTTTTGCATTCAGGGTATGCTAATTAAACTTGGAATGTCTTAAGCTTATTAACTCTTTATCTAACAATAAAATGCTTACAATTGTGCAGATAAGAGTATCATCCGAAATAAGCAATGCTCCTTTCATCCTCAACTTGGACTGTGACATGTACTCCAATAATGCAGATACAATTCAAGAAATACTATGTTTTTTCCTGGACGAAACAAAAGGACAAGATATAGCATATGTACAATTTCCCCAAAGCTTCAGTAACATCACCAAAAATGACCAGTATGGAAATTCTTATCTTGTAAACGCTAAGGTGAGTAATAAAATTACTTATAACATTAACTTTACCCAGACTATAGATGTTAACACGGTGTATGTATGATATATAGTCACACAAAAAGATGAACTAACACTATCGAGTCTGATTTTGTAATGCAATAAAGTAAGAGTTAGCTGGCATATGCGGATATGGAGCAGCCTTGTTCTGTGGAACAGGATGCTTACATAGAAGAGAAAGTCTTTCAGGATCTCACTTGAAAGATTACAAAGTAAATTGGGAGAAGAAGCCTAAAAGAAACAATAACAGAACAATTGATGAACTGAATGAAGCATCGAAGGCTCTTGCCACTTGCACCTATGAAGAGGGCACCTTATGGGGGAAGGAGGTACGTATATGTATGCTTTCTAAATTTCTATTTAAAAGCATTCTGTAATGAAAAATAATTTTTTACACCATTTGAACCAGTTCATAATCGGGGATATTTTGATCATTAAAACTTCTGAGTGTTGCAGATGGGATTAGTGTATGGTATTCCTGTAGAAGACGTTGCAACTGGCCTTGTAATCTCGTGTAGGGGTTGGAAATCTATTTATTACAACCCAGAAAAAAAGGCATTTATGGGCATAGCTCCAACAACCTTGGATGTAGCATGTCTTCAGCATAAGAGGTGGTCAGAAGGCATGTTCCAAGTTTTCTTCTCCAAGTATTGCCCTTTCATTTATGGGCATGGAAAGATACACTTGGGTGTTCAAATGGGATATTGCAATTACCTCTTGTGGGCTCCTATGTCCCTGCCCACTCTTTGTTATGTCATTATTCTTCCTATCTCCTTGTTTCATGGCATTCCATTGTTCCCAAAGGTTGTCTCGTAGTTGGAATAAATTTTGTTTCTTTCTTTGATTTTGTTGCACTCATTTGCTCTCCTTTCGTGTTTTTGCAGCTTTCAAGCATGTGGGTCATTCCATTTGCGTATGCATTTCTTGCTACCTATGGCTATAGCTTGTGTGAGTATTTGACTTGTGAATCCACCACAAAGGCATGGTGGAATTTGCAGAGAATAAAGTTCATCCACAGAGTCAGCTCTTATCTCTTTGGTTTCATCGATACCATGACAAAGCAACTAGGATTGTCACAGACAAACTTTGTGATCACAGATAAAGTAGTAACTGAGGATGTTCGAACCAGATACGAGCAAGGAATCATTGAGTTTGGAGGCTCCTCAATCATGTTGACCATCTTAGGAACAGTGGCTTTGCTGAACCTTTTTGGTCTGGTCGGAGGAATCGTGAGAATTCTAATGGAATTGGAATTGAGCTGGAGCCAATTGATGATGCAGATTTCAGTGAGTTTCTTGGTGGTAATGATCAATTTACCGGTATATGAAGCACTTTTCATTCGTACTGATAAAGGCTGCATATCATCCTCGATTATGCTGAAGTCCATTGTTGTGGCTTCTTTAGCATGTTACCTTGGAGCTTTCATTCGCTAGTGTAGCCAAGAGTCAAAGTGCAATGTAATATGTTTTGATTGAGTTTATACTCTTTAATATTTTTAATTGAATGATATAATTTGTTTTGTTATTTTATTTACTTATATTTATTTATCTTGTTATTTAACAAAATAATATCGGTTAAACCTTTTCCAAAGTTTGTATCTTTCTCGATTAGATATCTGTCTTATCAGTTTTGTCAATTTAATTTTAAAAAATGAAAATTTAAGTTAATTTCATTAAATTGATTTGACGGAATTAAGTTTTCTATAAGTTTGGACATTGACATTTTCTTGTATCATTATTTGACCGGCACTTAAAATATTATTTTTAAATTCTATTTATTTTATTTTAATAATATTTTTGTCTCCGCAACAAAGTTAAGTCGGAAACCAAACTTGTCGAACTAAATTCAATCTGAACCAACTTTTGACATTCTCAACTAAATTCAATATGAACCAACTTTTGACATTCTCGGGCCACTATGACTCCTCTCCATAGCCAAGCAAGGAATCAAAGCCACTGCCATCAAGTCTAAACTGAGTCTGAACCATTGCAGGCAACTTTAAAGTTGAAAACCACCACAATCAATCCCAAACCTCAAATGAAAACGCAACTAGATCAAGAAACAAGATTTTCCATACCAGAATTCGAATCTCTTGAGAAACAATATCAGAGCTCCTAAAAAGAATTTTCAAACCAAAAATCCCAATTTTAATATAACAAAAAACAACTAAATTCCCAATTCGCAATTTTAGAAACCCTAAACTCCAAAAATTTCATTTGGTTTGGGGCCTCCTTAGTTTGGATATCGGGGGTTGATGCACTCCTGCACTTGCTTATTTTGCAGTTTGTGGTGCCTTTTCCTGGGGGAGTTGATTCGTCATCCTCAGGTAGATTGCACACCTAACTGGTGCTGGAAGTAGATGTGCATGTGTTGAAGAAACTAAGCAATAGGTGAGGCAGTTGAACGAGAAGGAGCTTGCACTTGCTCTGTGTTCCTCCACCACTTTGGAGGCGAGATCCGTGATGTCCGAGAACGATTTCTGGAGGTGCTTCTTCACGATCATCATACCTTAACTTCAGATTTGTAATCTTAATTTTAATCCCAATTAATATTTTAATCAAACTTAATTCCATTTCAGTATCAAATGGCACGTTTAAAGACATGTGAATTAAGAGAGGATCTATTTGTGAAATACCCACATAAATACAAACTTTTCCAAGGGGTTTAATTAAATAATATCATATTTCGTTATTTTACATTAATATCAATATTAATCATTATCTCACGTTTCTTTACTAAATAAATAAGAGGATAAGACAATATATTATTTTCATAATTTAGTTAACAGAAAAATTAAAAAGTAGAAACTTAATTATGAACACTACAAAAATTTAATTAAACATATCTAAATTTATATAAAAGAACTTTACACTTAAATTAATACATTAGTTTGTTACCTTTTGACTTTTAAGATTGTGCAACATGTATATTATAGACAGTTCTTTCAAAAATTATAATTAAAAATTACATTTTCTAAATATTAATATTAACATCAATATCTCATAAATAACAAAGAATAGAATTAAAATTAAAAATTTATTAAATAGTAACATTAGTTAAAGTTTATTTTAAATTAAAAATATATATATAATGAAATATATAAAATAGCAAATGTAAATTCTTTTAACAAAATATTTAAGTGTTTTTTATTATATTTATCCCACTATTTATTACTATAGTTACAAAAGTAAAGTGTTTATGTGATATTCCTCTCTTCATAAATTCATCTCAATTGAGGTACTGAGGAAGGAATAGCATCCTTGGGCAACAAAATGTTGTTTTATTATTATGTTTTTTTTTAATTTTTATCACAAGTGTGCAGATTTTACAGTAAATTTATATACTTTTTAGAAAAAGTGTAAAAGATAATATAAAATAAAGGTAAAAACTTTATATATATAAAAATATATTTATCGTTGTAAAATCTGTAACCTTCTAAGAAATCTGTTATGCATTGATATGTGATAAGGTTTTACGTATCTATTAGGTAAATACTTTTAAACAATATTTTTTTATTCATACCAAATTATAAAAAATTATAAAATACTAAGTTTAATATCAATTTTGGTTCAAGTTTTTTTTAAAGTGGTCCTCGTTTATACTGGTCCCATGTTGACAAACTCAACTGGTCCCATGTTGACAAACTCATGTGAATTATCTTTTACCTTATTCACATATTTAGAAACTTTTAGTTTCCATTTTTGGAGCTTCATTTTTCTTGAACAAACCCAACAAGGTGGGTTTCTATAACATCCCAAAATCTCACACTTGAAATTTCATAGTTTATATATTGTAATATTACATTTACGGTAACATCCCATAATTTCATCCTTTAAAAAAAATTTATAGTTGATACTATACATGTTGTAAACTCATATTTGAAAAATCCTAATTGTAACTTGAGTTCTTCTATTTTATTCTTCTATCTTTCTCTTCTTTGACACTGAGTCAGACGATATTCTTTCATCTGCTCCCGTATAACGAATTATACGATCATCGCACATACCCAAACACAAACAAGTAGGAGTGAGCTAGACATAAAATGCATGTTATTCAACCTCACACGACATGCAAAAAATCACTCAAACATGGTAAAATGACATCACAGTACTTGTTACTTTATAAACCGACTCGTCCAGACTAGAATGATAGTCGAGCTATTGGTGGCGGGTCTTGCACTCGTGGTGGCTTATGAAACTTGGGTTCCCCCACCCTACCACACTCACGAGGTTAGTCCGTTATCACTCACCTTGGGTCATACTGGAAGCACCCAAGACTAGGACCTCCTGCTACTCCTCACCACATGGTTCAATACTCTCTACATGAGAAGAAAGACCATTGGAGTTTCAGGATGACACCCAAAACTGAGCTACCATGCAATCATTCTACACACCACCAGGGCACCACCATGTATCCTCTCCTTGAGTATCATGTAATTACGTCCATGAACCATACTGTTACTTTGAAACTTAACCCAAGACACGAATAACCGGATACCATCATATTATCACAGTGAATCCAACATATCTCATACATTCACATACTTCCCACATAAATCACATTATTATAGTTCACAACCATGTTCAGATGCATAAATTCAATTGCAATATAATAAAATACAATCATCACAATTATAATTCATAATTCTATATCTACCACAATAACATGAATTCATCAGACATTTCCATTCCAACAAGATATATTTGCACAATAATTTAACAGTACATAATCTGTTCAATAGGATTTAAGTTAAAAACTTGTCGAGTAGACTTTCAGGAAAGAGAAGTGCGTCACAATGGACAACTTAAGTACCAAGTCTTTCCTTAGCCAAAGTGTTCCTCAACTAGTTTTTAACAAATTTCTTATTTACAGATTCAAAACCGTAACATATAATATTAACACACCGAAATTCAACATAGATAGATATATAGTAAGCATTAACAGTATTCACACAGAATTTCAAGACATGAATAGTAATAAAACAATACTAAATCATAATATAAAAGCATAGAAAGGTTAGCTCCCCTACCTCTATTCCAGACTTCTCTTGCTTCGAATTTGTTTTCCCTGAAAACCCTTCAGAGGTTCTACTCTTCTTGCAGCTAAAATTTTTTTCCTAACTCTTTCTTCTCTATTTTTTAAGGTTTCTCATTTGATTCTTCCTCTTTTTGTGCAAAATATCCTTCCCTCATGGCTATTTATAGTCCAAAATTTTTACAATTCATCAATTTTTTTAATATTATTTATTATTTTAATATTATTTTATTATATTAATTTCTTAATCACCACTTACATAATGGATTCATAATGGATTCTTTAATAATGCCTTCAAATCTGAATGCTTTCTCCATTATCAATATTTTAAATTTAATTTTACTTTTTTGTTTTTTTTTACAAAAAGGTATAAAAGAGTTTGAACCTAACACCAAAATTATTTTCCATTCACAAAAAAATTTATTACTACTAGTAATAAAATTGTTACTATTAAGGTTTCATGGGTCTTACAGGTTCCTTGTCGTCCAAGGAGACATTCTCTTCCTTTCTCTCCTCTATTTCTAGGTTGCCATAACAGGAAACCTTTCTTCTTTATTTTTTCTTGTTCTAGTTATGTTCGTATTAGGGCTCCAAATTGGGGTTCTAGTTTTGGGATTCTATCTCGCAACGTTGGGTTTTCTTTCTTGAATTGAGTTTCTGTTTTGTTTTTTCTGTATATTAGTGACGCAAGCTTAAAGTTCCATAAATATACATCCTGCATGAAACTTGGTTTAATCATTTTCGAAGTCAGATTTGTATCAAATTGGTCCTTCAGTTAATTTTTAACTCAATTAAGTCTCTGTTTGTGCAAAATTGATTCAATTCAATCCTTGTCATTAATTTGAATGAACGACATTTAAGTTTTCAGTCATGTGACATATAACAGTCATGTGACATATAACGGAACTCTCAAAGTTGAACATTTGCATTGTTTACAAATTTTGAAACATATTGAAGTGTCCTATTCTAAACTAATTTCACTCTATTTATTACTAAATTCATAATCAATAATATATAATATAATATAATATTACTCAAATAAGCAATTTCAAATTTTAAAGAGTTAATATATAACAAAATTTTAATAATATTTAATATTATATTATATTATTAAAATAAACAATTTCAAAATTTTAAAAAATAATACTATATTACCATAAAATCCTAAACCCATCCATCCATACATTCAACAAAATATAAAAAGAGGTTACCAAAACCCTACAAAAGTTGTGTACAAAAGTTAAAAAAAAAAAAATTAACTTGCCAGTGGAAATTAATCTTCTTTCCAAAACCCTTATCAAGTTTTTAGACTGTGATATCAATAGAGTTTATTTATAATCTTTTAAATATTTTATTGTGCTATAACTTAAAATAAACTAATAATATATAAAAAATAATAAAAATAATTATAAAAAATTAAGTTAATAATTATAAAA